CTCGGGGCGCGGGGAGGGCTCGCCTGTTGGTTTCAGGTGCACTTTTCCGCTTGCGATGCTCATCTGTGCGCTCTCTTCATCCTGGTCCTGGCTTTCTCGAACACCATGTTTTTAGCATGTTTTTAAATAAAAACTGATAACGTGTCGAAAGCACAAGCAGGCTGTCGGTCGGTGGTGCGTGACTTACTTCGTGTCGTGCTGGTGTGAGGGACCGGGAGGGGATCAGACACCGGTCCTGGCCTTTGTCCAAGACACGCCCCCACAGGGACCCCGGCTCCCTTCTAGGGCCCAGAGTCCAGATCTGCTGGGGCGGGGAGGGTCTCAGTGTCCTAACAGCCCCCTTTGCCTGGTCACTCCGGATTGGCTTGGGCAGGGGTCAGGCCAAGTGCCCGAGCCCTCAGCGTGAGAAGCCATGGCCCCACCACTGATGTCCAGTCTTGTGAGCCAGGTCGGCAGGTGCGGGACAGGTCAGGAAGAAGTCATTCATGGCTTCCAGTACAGTCTTCCCAGTTTCTCTCTTGCTCCTGGGATCACTGGGACCCGATGTCTCCTCTAGGAGTGAGGGGCTGCCAGGAGAGGAGCTGCTTTTTCCGGGGTGCTTTGGATGGTCTGGGCTCTTCAGTCCGAGGCAGTGGCTGAGGTGACTCTGGGGGCCCCTCCTTGACTCCCCATTCTTGCGTGATGGGGGAGGACCAGCTCCCCACCAGTGCTCAGCAAAGCACAAGTGAGGAAGGGCGGCAGGGGCGCCCTGCCAGCCCTCGATGGGAATGTCTTTTCACTCAGACTCACTGAATACTAACGTGCGCCGAGAGCCTGGGTGACAGTCACGGCCCCCAGAAGAGTGACCGTGACTGCAGCCCAGTGGTGATGACCGTGTTCACAGGGTGCTGGGTATGACGGGCCCCGGCTGGACTTGGGCTGGGAGGCCTCCAGAGGAAGGGACGTCCACGCTGAGAGCCGGAGACAGGAGGCATTGCCCCGGCAAGGCGCAGCAGGAAGTCTGTCCTGTGGGTAGATGTGGTCCGCAGAGCACGGGTGACGAAGGGGGCGTGGCTGGGGAGGGCGGCCGCCGCCCACTGCCGGGTTACAACCTTGACAACCAGGCCAAGGCGGGGAGCCACGGCAGCCATGGAAAGACTTGCGCTAAATAGGGCAGGCTGAGACCCGGCCTTTGGGAAGTTGGGCTGCAGCCTGGAGCAGGGTCAGGGGTGCGAGGAGGCCCCGGGGCTTCAGGTGTGGGAGCTCCCGCGGTTCAGACGAGGGACGGCGGGGCCCACGGATTGCAGATACACAGGAGAATGGACGAGCCTTGCTGGTTAATTAGATGTATTAGGCAGGGCAAGAGCGTTCTGCCTTTCACCCAGCGTGACACCCTTCCCCTGGACAGGTAGATGACTCACTGTGTGCACCACGTGGAGGGATGAGCATGTTTTCTGTGCAGGAGATGGCAGGGACCAGTGTGGTGTAATCAAATCGCTCCTTTTGTTTGCCAGCTTTTGTTTGCAGAGCGTCAAAACTTGCAAAATGCTTCCATAAACATTAACTAGGTTCCTCCCAACCCAACGGTCCCATCGGCTGTCGTGGGCTGGAACGCTCACTGCGAGAGAGGCGCCAAGATGGGGACAGAGCAAGCCCTGGTTTGGGAGTTGCAGGAGGACCTGGCCAAGTTCTCACCCTGCATCTGTGTCCGGACGAGCCTCAGGCAGTCCTTGAACTCGCCTTGGTTTTGTCATCGGCCTATCTGACAGATGTGCAGTGGCATTTAAATAAAGGCACCTGTGTGCAAAGGCATCCGGCGTGTTCCTGGACCAGAGTAGGTGGGTTTGGCAAGAAGCTGGTCAAATCTGGGTCCTTCCAACTAAAGGCAGGTCCCCAAAAAAGCGCTCCCCTAGGCTGAGAGCCAGGGGCAGAGAGTGGGCTGGGAAGGGAGTGCGGGCTGTCTGAAGGATTAGCGGACAAGCGTTCTGCCCTGAGCTGGCTCAAGAGCAGCCACTCCATAATCCACAGAAGCAAGAGGGAAGTCGCATTAAATAAATGCCATTTGGGACGCAAAAATATTGGCATTTGCGGTGGTCCCTTCCTAAAGCGTTCGGCAAAGATTGGGAGGCTATTGATGTAGGCATCTCCTTCTTGCCGAGT